TAGTTTTTCCTTACCCTGTTTTTATTTTACTTTTTGTTTCATTTCTCATAGGAAAGAATATATAAATTTGTAAATCCTAATTCAAAGATGACTTTTGTGCAAGGGTATTGAGTTTGGTTCGTTTTTCCCTTTTGGTCCAAGTTGCGTGGCTTTTGGGGAGATGTGTGTATGAGGGGCGGGGCTGTGTGTTTTTTAATTTTTTAAATATATATTTTGGTGCTGTATGTGAAGAGAGACTTGTTTATAGTAGATCAATGAACCATCTCTTGTAGGCATATTTGTTGAAAATAAAGGTTCCTCTTTGGTTTCAAGAATGACCGAAATGGCCTCTGAAAAGCGCTCCCTCATCTCAGGCGTCTCTGGCTCGAGGCCTGCTTTTTCTGTGCTCACACAGTGACAGCACCTGTGCCTGCAGCTGGAGAGCCGCTCGCCCAGTCCACAAGTTAAGGAGCACTGCCGGCACGCAGCAGCCCCATTGCCGGGGAGGGACTCTGACCCCAAAGACACTAACTTGGCTGCATTTGCTGTAAAACTCCCTTTCTCTCTAACTTGTTTTTATTCTCAAGCCTAAGGGAGAGCATAACTGTAAAGATCGGTCACATCTGAAGGTGATGACTGCTGAAGGCCCCTGTGTATAGTAGGCCAGAGCGGCTCTTCTGGACTCCTCTCAAACCACAAGGGCAGCTGAAGGCTCAGCCCGGAGGGTGGTATGGCTTCTTAATGGCCACCCCAGTATCACCGTGTTACAGAAGGCAGTAAAACCTGTTCACTGAAGAGGGCAGAAAAGAGCCCAGAAACCAGCAGGCTCCAAGTGGGGAGGAGGACTGGCCTTGAGGGAAGAGAACAGCCCAACAGGCGCTGTGTGCAGCACAAGGAAGTGGGTGTGCCTGGGGCGGCCCCTCACGACCTGTCACTGGGTAGCTCAGGTACTGGCCGCTGGGATCACACCCCCCAGCGCTGTGCTGGTCAGACTGCTTCGTCCTACTCAAGATGACAGGAGCAGATTCCCAGCCCAGCTCTAGTGACTGCTCTTGGTCAGATCCCAGAACATGCTTTTCCAGCATCAGCACTCGGTAGAGGGACAGCTGAGTCATGGCCACGTGGTTGTGACCACCCAGAACGGGCTTTCAGCACTGCCCCAGCGAGGTCCCATGCCTCTGCTGCTGCCAGGAAGCCAGCATTTGCACTCTGACCTACATGGGCCGCTCACCGAGGGCATCGACCTGTTTGTCGCACTGCATCTTGCCGGGCCACTTCCCTCCAATCTTGCACCAGATAGAAATAAAGGCATTTGCAGTGGGGCTGAGAGAAAGCGGCCTGCTAAACTGAAGTGCAGGGCAGTGAGGATGCAGGCCCAGTCCTGTGGGTGTCAGCCCTCGCTGCCAAGGGAGGAACAGTGTGTGTTCGAGCCTAGCACAGGCAACTTAGACTCTGTCTCAAAAAAGTTAAAAGCCGGAGACCTAGCTCGATGTAAAGGTTCTTGAGTTCAATCCACAGTATGGCAAAAACAAAACAAAGCCACCTCTGCATTTTTGGAAAAGCACCAGGCAATCAGCATGTTATTGTGTTTGTATATATAAGATCATTTATGATAACAAATGTCACCAAATCGATATGCTCTTGTAGTTCGAGGGTGTGAGTTGTGTAACAGTGGACCGTCCTACTTGTGGGAGTCAACCACAGACTCCTGGCACACAAATGGGGCTTGTCGCATGCATGAACTATTACGTAGTGTTGGTATTTTACTTACTGGTGCAGTCAGCAGCTAAGTCAGCCAGTGCTGGGGTCACTACAGCAGGTGTCAGCGAGCCTGAGGGTGTCGGGCGCTGTCCTGGCCTGTGACCTCATGCACGGGAAACCCCCTCTACAGGAGGAAAAACTGCTTTGGGGGGTAGATGTTTGGTTTTCCTACTTTGTCTCATTTGTGTCTTACTGTTGGGGTTATTAAAATTTGGTTATATTTTACAGAGTAGTTTATCCTTATACCTTCTGGTGCAAAGTGCCTTAAATAAATGAAATTTAAGAATATTCTAGTATTCTTTTTCTACATCATGAGGCTGTGAGGAAAATCCCTAGTTTGGAACTTTTCGAAACGTGGGAATTGATATAAAACAAATGACAATTTTTTCCCCCACTTAAATTATTTCCAGGTTCTTGAAGAGACAAGCATGTTGCTTGGGGTTAATATTAGAGACCAAAGTCTCTAACACATGGCTCAAGACTGTGACCCAAGGTGCACAGAACATGCAAATCAAGGTCCTGTGACAGGGCTGCCTTAGCGTCTCAGCCGTGTCTCCGTGTCCTGTGTGCACTGTGCTAGCTTTGGCAAGTGAAGCAAGGTTCCTGGAGGATTCTTAGGTATCTTCAGGTTGCCTTCTAGGTGGTTGTTGTCCATTTAGGATGAACCAAATTGAAAGTGTCAGGTGACAGTGGCCTGTCTGAGACTCAGGTACGTTCAGTAGGGCACCATGGTATAGGCACAACCCATTGTCACTAGCCTTTACGCATCACTGTGTTGTTGATGCGTTTCATTTTGATGCATCAGTGGTGTTGCCATGGTGTGTCTTTGAGATGTGCGCTGCTTTCCTCAGACGTGTACGAAGTGTGCTCTCAGAAGTGGCTGTGCCGTCACAGCGTGCTGGAGACTGTGAGGCGCAGTGACAGCGTGCTGGAGACTGTGGGGCACGTTGATTCTGTAGCTCCAGCCAGGCTTCTGTGCGCCCCTCACCCACTGCCTTCTGAGAAGTGCAGATTAGCGGCTTGTGTAGCCTGTTCTTTTTTTTTTTTTTTTTTTTTTTTGAGGTATGGTGATTGAACTCAGGGCCTTGTGCTTGCCAGGCAAGCGCTTGTTCTACTGAGCGATCTCCCTGGCCCTATAGCCTGTTCTTGATAGTAAAAGTTTTCACACTTTTCTAGACTCTCACGGTTCTTTTTTTCCTTCTAGGAAGATGTATCGATAAGAACAAAGGAATACTACACTAGCACGTCTTGTATTACAAGTTGATAGAGTAGAATTGGAAAGATAGAAACTTCAGTTTCATGTACCTGCTTTAGTTTTGATCTATTCTCTAATAGTTATATTTTTACTAGAAAATCTCTAAAATTAAAAGCCAAGGCGCCCACATCATCAGCCAGGCCCCTCCCACTGTGGTTCCTATGCTTTTCAGCCTCTGCAGGAGGGGCTCAGACTGACGCGGATCTCCTGATAGAGAAGCGTGCAGAGACCAGTGGCTGGGGCCTGAGCAGTAGGGGCCTGGGCTGTGTCCACTCCAGCGTGATTCGGGGTCTTTATCAAAGATCTTCAGGTAATTGGATAGAAGTATTACTGGCCATAAGCTTAGGAACAGTTCCCGAACTTTCCTATGCCTGGGCTGACCTGCAGGAGTGTTTTGCACCAACACTTTTGCATCTGATACAGATGAAAGATTGATACGGTTTTAGATCCTTTTTTTTTTTTCTCCAGTCCTTGGATTAAGCCCAGGGCCCTGTACATGCTAAGCATATGCTCTACCTCTAGGCTGCATGCCTGCTGCAGGTCTCAATATCTTTAACACCATTCAGCAAGTGTGTGGAGCAGGTCAGTCGTGGACTTGGGTCATGCCAAGGGGCTGCAGAGGCTAAGCTGTTAAGGGCACAGAAGGGTTGGTGCTGAGTGAATCCAGGATTCTGCTTTTAAATGCAATGAGACGCGTTGGCAGGTTTGAGATTGCAGTTGGCCTCTGGCCTCTGTGTGGAGGGAAAGTTCGGGTAGAGCTGGAGGTGGGGGTGGACAGAGGGCCCTGCAGCCTCCAGGTGCGCGTGGCTGGGTGCTCACAGCTTTCCCATGCTGGGCAAATCCGTCATGTGTGCACTGCCAGGGTCCTGTGCAGCTGCTCTGTGTCAGCCTCTGAATCCGCTCCAAGCCTGTCCCACGGTCCCTGACTCTGGCCTGGAGGCTGGCACTCAGGGCACCTTTGCCTGTGAGCTCCGAGGCCAGCGACCACCTTCACAGCTTTCAGCAGGCATCTATGGTACGGACACTGCTAGCACCCGAGTCACCCAGCTCTAGCCAGCCCACTTTGGAGTCCTAGGGATAGAGCCTGCCCCAAAATAGCCATTTAAAAAATTGTTTGCCCTAAGTTTTACTGTCTGCATTTGGTAAAGGATTTATCCCTAATTTTCATTAGATCAGCATAGCCCAGTGGACTTCCCCGGTTTGTAAACAGGAACAGAGACCCCTAAGAATCTCTATCCTGTCCAAGGTCTGCTGGTAGCATGTGTGGGGACTGGGTCTTCCCAGGGCCCTCCGAAGCCAAGAAATCCCCATGCTAAACCTCAAAGCCTGTAGCAGGGTCAGGCATCCTTCCTGTGAGACAGTAGGGGTCCCTGTGGCCTCTCGAGATATCACAGGGGCGGGACCCAAGTGTGTGCGTGGGGGGACTCCTGGTAGTACCAGACAGGCTAGACGGAAGCGCTGCAGAGACTGACACGTGGACTTGGGCGCGCTGCCTGGTGGGTGGGCCAAGCAGGAAGAGGAGGGCCCTGAGGGCCCGGCATTGAGACAGCCTGTGCTCCACACTGTCCCAGCACCACAGCCTGATGCAGCTGTCCACAGATCAGCCTCACAGGGACGCAGCTGAGGATGTCCAGTGGTCCAGGTGGGCCAGGAAGGAGGGGGTAGGGCCCTGGGGTGGAGGGAGCAGAGGACTGCTGCGTGGTGGGCAGCTCGGTAGAAAGTGGGCCTGAAGGCTGCGACCTGCCTGCTGTGGTGGGCTGCCCTCGCTCTCCTCAAGGCTGGCACATTCCTCAGTGGCAATGGCAGCCCCAGGAAGGAAGTTCACAGCCTGTGACCTGGAAGGGGACCCTCCTCCTACTACCAAGTGATAAAGCCTGTACGGTGGCCCCTGAATTCTAATCTTAGCTGGTGGACACTGGGAGTTGTGCGGCATGGAAGTAGCCTTGGAGGCTGGGCAGGGGCACCCCACAGCTAAGTGCAGTGAGCACTAGCTCAGGATCATCCACAAAGACAGACCCTGGGACAAGTGGGGATGAGGCTGTCAGGTCATTTGATGCCACTGTCCCTACTGCTCCATAAGCCAGTAGCCCCACACAAGCCAGGATGGAGCTGGTGGGAGGGTCCTCATGGGAGCCTCCACTCACTCTTGTAGGCTGAGGCCCCTCCACCATGGTGCTGCCTTGGGCAGGGCCTGCCAGTTCCAGAGGCAACCGACTCTGGAGCAGCTGCCTTGGAGGTGCCGGGAAGAAGAAGAGGCAAGGGAGGCCCAAGCTATAGTACCACAGTTGGGTGTTTGGCCAAATGAAGGCACAGCAGCAGCTTAAGAAGCCCAGCAGGACAGGGCCGAGGGAGAGGCAGAGCTGCAGGAATGTGGGGAACCTCCAGTGCCAATTAGAAGAGGGGGGTGTCATAGAGTGTGCCCAGATCAGGGCCACCACTCCTCCTGCCCCACCCCATGTTTATCCAGGTGTCTCTCCCTGGCCCGCAGTGTGAGCCAGGGCCTGTAGAACATTCCAAAAAATTTACTGCAGGTTGCAGCGGCTCCAGCACTCACCACGCTACTTCTCCCCTTGATTTGTCATGGCATTTGCTGGAACTCTGGGGCTTGATGGGGTTGAGGACATCCACAACCCACACACAGGCAATAAGCACAGCAATGGGTGCATGGTTGAGAGGCAGGTCTCTGTGAATCAGAGGCCCGTCAAAGCTGGGGGCAGAATTTGGGAGGGGCTTCTAGTCACCCGGCCCTGGGGCCACATGTTCCTGCTCTGAACTGAGGACCGCGTGATCACCAGCTTGCTCAGCCGCGGCTGCTTCTGAAGGCTGTGTACAGGAAGCAAAAGGCTCACAGGAAGTACCTTGCCACACCGGGAGGGTCGCCTGTGGGCGGTGGATCTCGTCAGGTGCTCCTGCCCTAAGCAAGATGGGCCTGGGGCCCCCAAATCACCCTCTGCTAGTGGGCCAGACTTTCCGCTCTGTGTCCTCAGTGGTTGTGGAGGGTGTGTTGCTCTCCTGCCTTCAGGGGTTAGGGAGGAAGCCGGCGTGGCCTTCACCCTGCGGGAGCTGGGTGCTCCTGCAGGCCTTCCTGCCCGGGGCCTTCATCAGCACCATCTGTGGGCCAGTAGCTTGTCAATGTTCTGCACCTGCTTGCCTACGAGCCTAGCCCCATGGCGCTCTCCACACTATGCACGCAGGCCTTTTGGAGGAGGTGGCAATCCCAGCTGGCTTTGCTGTTACTAGCTGGCCTCCCTCACAGAATAGCAGGGCCAGGCCTTTGTACGTGCTTAGGGAGAGGTGGCATCTTGGACAGATCCTTGACCCCTTTCTGGTGGAGGTGACCCATTGCTGCTTTGACCACATAAAGGAATGAAGATTGTTTTCTTTCTCTCTCTCTCTCTCTCTTTTTTTTTTTTTTTTTTTTTTTTTTTTTTTTTTTTTTTTGAGACAGGGCCTCACTGTGTAGTTCAGGCTGGTCTTAAACTCACTTTGTAGACCCGGTGATCCTCCTGCCTCAGCCTCCTGAGTGCTGGAATGGCAGGCATGCACCATCATCCCTGGCCTATGTGCCTTTTTTTTTTTTTTTCTGGTGGTACCAGGGATTGAACTCAGGACCCCGCACTTAACAGACAAGCACTTATTCTACTGAACTATCTCCCCGGCAAATGCTCCTTTTCAAAGGCAACTTTGGACTATGTGGCTTTTAGTGGAAGTTACAAGTGTCCCTCCCATGCCCTTGCTGCAAGCCTGTGTGTCCAAACTTCTTGCACATGTTGACAGAGAACTCGCCCAGGATTGTCTCTGGAGGCCAGGCAGGGCTGTGGGACAGGACTCGGCAAGCTGGCTAAGTGGCGGCAGTGTGGACTGTCACCCTGTGTTCCCAGTGAACCAATGGCAGTGTTTACTTAGGACAGTGGCCCAGCAAGGGAAGGAAGACGGGAACCAGGTGCAGCTGGGGGCTCTTGCAGGGCAAGGTTTTGTCAAGTGCAAGGGTAGGCTCCAAAGGAGACTTGGCTGTCCGAGTCTGGCAGTTCAAGCCACTCCCAGCGAGCAGCCCCAGGGTCTCGTGTCACGTCCAGAAAGAATGCGGAAGGCTCAGAAACCCGGTTCCTGGTGAGCTGAAGAAGGACCAGGATGGGCCTCACGCGTCCAGGCAGCCCTCACTTCACAAGTGGGTTTGCAGTTGCCCCCACAGGCCTCAGAATGATCCCACCCACCACTCCCTGCTGACTGCCTACCCAGCACGGTGACCTCTGATTCCATAAAAATGGTTAGCACTGGGGGCCCCAGGTCCTGCGAGGCAGCGAGCGATGAGTTCACCCCTATATGGCATAGCCATGCTCTGCCCTAAGCAGGGAGCACCTGCCTTCCCAGACACCCTCACTTGTGTCTCCTGCCACACAGACTGTGCTGAATCGCTCTTTTTTTTTTTTTTTTTTTTTTTTTTTTTTAATTTAAAACAAACTGTGTGTTTCAGAATGACCGTGAAGATAGAGCAGTTTCTGAACACCCTGCCCTGTGTTCCCTATTAACGCTGTAAATGAGTGGAGCTCACCAGCTTGGATGAGCCGACACGGATTGCTTCATCTAGCTGCTCCCGTCCCTGTCCAGATCCCGGGACGTTTAGTACTCACCCCCACAGCTGCTGGGGGACATTGCCGCTGATCACCCGAAGGTCCCTAGCAGGACCGGCCAGACCTCTGCGCACCCCCCTTCCGTGTCTGGCTGTGGGTCCTCAGAAAGAGGGGTCTTTCACCACACCCTGCTGCTGCCAAACCTGGCCCATTTGGCTCACCCTGCACGGTGCCAATTACTGAAATAGTGAGTTCTACAAGGTAGTGTTTGTTCACTACTCAGCGAAACGGGATGGGAGAGCACAACTGTGTCCACCTACCTCCTCAGGGCTGAGGTGCATGGAGAGGGACTGGCAGCGAGGATGTCACGCCTGGTCCATGCTCATCAGCAGTCACCACCTGCCCTCGAGTCCACATCATCTCTACTTCAAAAATTGGTCATTTCTGAAGTCCACTGAAAGCAAGTGACTAAGAGTAAAGTGGGTGATGCCTAGAGGGTCCACCTAGGTTTCCCCCCAGGGTCTCTGTTAGGGTCCCTACTGGACAGACAGGGCCAGGGTCAACCTAAGGCTCACTGACATTTAAAGGACAAGCAGGTGGAAAGTACAGAAGCCCTCTGCCCCACCCTGGGCTGCCAGTCACGTGGACCCCACCCCCACTCGCTGCCTGTGCCCTGCCAGTGTTTGGGCCTCACTTCTCTTGGTCCCTTTTTAAATTTGTTTTCTGCTGGTTATTTTGGACTAGCAGAGTCTGGCTTGCCTTTGCTTGCAAGGGTCTGTGGAGCAAGGCCCTAGAGGGCAATCGGCAGTGCTGGAGGGAGGGTGGGAGAGGGGAAGAGAAGAGGTGGGGGAGCCCTGAGCAGCAGAAACTGCAGAGGGCTGGCGGCTCGTTAGCCCCTGAGCTAGCTCTCACCCAGTCGTGCTGAGCCAGGAAGCAGAGGGCAAGGACAGGCTGAGAACCCAGGGCCAGAGCCACAGGGCTTGCCCTGGCAGGCCCCAGGCAGGGCAGGAGCAGGGAGGGGAGCTGTCCACTTGTCCTTCCACAGCCCTTCTTCATCCCAAAGATGAGTGTGCCCCTGAGCGGCGAGGGCTGCCATCCCCCGAGAGGGGACCAGAGTGCCACCAGCTGCAGGCCCTGAGGCTGGGTCGGAGAGGCTGTCACCGCAGTCACCTTCTTGGGCCTCTCTCCTTCCCCTCCTGTGCACATCAGCTGCAGCCCCTGTCACCAGCCAGGGCAAGGCAGAGAGACCTGTCCCAAGTCACTCCAAGAGAGCTGGGATTAGGGTCTGGCCTGAATGACCGTTCACTCTGCTGGAGTTTTATATATATATATATATATATATATATATATATATATTTGTTATCACCACATAGAAATGAGAGGTTTTATTTTATTTATTTATATTTATTTATTTATTTATTTATTTATTTTTGGATTTTAGGGAAGGGCCTACAGAGTGTTCAGGGTCTCACCACTAGATTGGACTCCTAGTGATCCGTCTGTTCTTTTTGGGTTTTTGGGTTTTTTTTTTGTGATCCACCTGTTCACAGCCTCCCAAGAGCTGGGATTACAGATGCACACCACCACGCCCAGTCTCAACTGCTGCCTCAGTGTGCCCCTGGGGGGCAGGGCTGGCAAGGCAGGCCTGGGATTGAACCCAGCCCCTGCACTTTCTTGCAGGTGCTTTCATCCTCTGAGCTATTTGGCCGGCCCTGAGAGGTTTTATTTTAAAGAGCTCCAAGCTTTATCTGCATGCCTGATAGACCTTGAGAACTTGCTGGAGGGAACAGGCTTCTGTGGTGTAGGAGAGCGTGAAGGACCTAGGCCCCGTGCACCTGTCGCCTTCCATCCCCGTGGTCTCTCAGCAGCGAGCTAGCAGCACAATGAGCTGAACCTAGGAGCTATCGCTGCCTGGGTTCCTCCTCCCAGGTCCCAACATCTCTAGCACTGCCCTGTCCACTCCTGGCCTTCATCCTACCTGCCCCAGGGACTTCGGTTGCGAAGACTTGCTGGCTTCTCCCGCAGGTCCCCCGCGGCTCACAGCTCCACTCTCGGACCCTCTTGTCCCACCTGATCCTGGCCACCTCTAGGTCTGCTGCCACCTCTTGGTGTGTTGTGAGTGGTCAGTCCTACCTGGCTGCCTTCCTGGGCCACTGTGGTCCACTAAAAGCGTAAGAATGTGGGCACCGCACATGCCAGTCATCCACGTGGGCCACTGCTGCCGTCCTGGCTGTGTGTGGCATTTGCTTGGGCTCTGGGTAGCTGGGCACGTTCCATCGTTCCCTTCCCCTGCCCTTGGTACAGGCTGTCCCAACTGTTTCCAGTCTTGCTGTCATGCCTAGCACCTGCTGTGTTCTCCTTGGAGTACAAAACAAGCACCAAGGAGGCTGTCCCAATTCCTACCCCTTTCACGGTCATGTGCATGACAGTGTCCCCTGGCCCCTGGAGGCTCTTCAGTAGGCAGGGCTGCCCATGGGCCCCTCCAGGGCCTGACTCTCCTCCTCTTCCACAGGCCTGAGTGCCAGGCATGGACAGGAATTCTGCTGCTGGGCACCTGTTTGCTGTACTGTGTGCGGGTCACCATGCCTGTCTGTGTGGTTGCCATGAGCCAAGACTTCGGCTGGAACAAGAAGGAGGCTGGTGTTGTGCTCAGCAGCTTCTTCTGGGGCTACTGCCTGACACAGGTTGTGGGAGGCCACCTTGGGGACCGGTAACTGCTCTCCCCACACCCCATTGCCCAGCGTAAGGGCAGCACCTCCTCTGTGGAGGGAGGGGCAATTGCCCACTCCAAGACCAATCAGCAAGAGCAGCACCCTGTGCCTGCCGCCCAGCCACCTGTCTGTCCCTCTGTGTCTTCTCTAGCGTCGGCGGCGAGAAGGTCATCCTGCTGTCGGCCTCCACCTGGGGCCTCATCACTGTGGCCACCCCTGCGCTCGCCCACCTTGGCAGGGCCCACCTGGTCTCCATGGCCTGCTCACGCGTTCTCACAGGACTGCTTCAAGGCAAGGGGCCCCTGTGTCATTCCCTTGTGCTCTGGTTTCAACTCTGGCCCCAGGTGGGGTGTGTACTCGTGTGTCTGCCCTGGGAGGGGGCCACTTATTGGGGGTTGGGTTGGGGGGTGCCCTCCATTTCTGCGTAGGTTATCCACAGCAGTGAGGACATTCAAGGCGCTCCAGCCCTGTGGCTTTCCTGCACTGTGAGCATTTGCCATCTGGGGAGGGACAGGTGGCTGACAGTGGCCTTGAGGAAGGGGGCCTCCGGCGTTTTAAGCCAGCAGGCGGCTCTCAGTTCTGGGAGGGACCCAGGCAGACGTTCCTAAGTAACTGTCATGGCTAACACAAGTGCAGAGTGCGGGCTCCACACCCTGTGGACATGGGCTGTGAGTTCCTTAAGTTCCTCTCACTTTGCCCTGGGACTCCCTCAAAGCCCCTCCACAATGGAGTTCTGAAACCCTCTAAAATGGGAAGACATGGAGTCATTTCCAAACTTTTGGACAGTGGTGTCCAAAAGAAATTCTAGGAGGGAATTGATCTGTAAAACTGCAGCTCAGATACCTCTTCTGGGGGAGGCGCGGGTATGCAATGAGGTGTGTGAGGGTCCCAGGCCCGGCCTGGAGGGTGGTGTGCAGGTGTGTCTGCGCAGGGGCTGTGGGGAGAGCCGGGAGTGGGTGCTGGGAAGGTGCCAGCCGGGAAGCAGGCGTCGTCCTCACTGCTCTTGCACACCGCTTTGCATGCTTTCACTCACCCAGCTCGTTGCTCAGCCAAGTATTATTAAAAGCCCAGTCCTGCTGATCCCTAGGGTTGGTGAGGCAATGCCAGGGACCCGTGGGCCTTGCTGGGTTACAGCCCTTGCTTGAGCAGGCGGCCAGGACCCGGCTGCCAGCAGGTGGCTCTCAGCGGTGCTCGCTGGTGCCTGGGCAACTGGGATGCTCTGCTTGTTCCAGGCGTGTACTTCCCTGCCTTGACCAGCCTGCTGTCGCAGCGTGTGCCGGAGAGTGAGCGGGCCCTCGCCTACAGCACTGTGGGGGCTGGCTCCCAGTTTGGGTAAGGCCCAACCTCAGAGGGAAGGGGAGACCAGGGATGAGGAGCAGCCTTCAGGGCCAGTGAAGGTGGGGTTTGGTCCCCAGGTAGCCCCCAGTGTCCTCTTTGACACATTATGCAAAAAAAAAAAAAAAAAAATCAATGTATATACATTTTATTTCCGTGTTTAAGTCACCCTTTCTTTTCACTGTGTTGTTTTTGTTTTTGTTTCTTGTTCAAAAGATCCACGTGACAATTTGTGTGTCAATCTGAAAGCTTAAAACCAAGAAATTAAAAACCACTTCGGCCATAGAGTAGCAGTGTCCCTGACCCCTGTCCCCAAGGCTGACCCCAAACTCCCTGATCCCACAGCTCCGTGGTAGAAAGTCTCTCCTGAGCCCTGGGAACCCTTAGTAAAGCCTGCGGGGACAGAGACTTGCAGGCAGCTGCTTCTTTCCTGGGGCTCTGCTCGCAGCGGGGTGCCCTAGGGTGTCTCCTTGCGGGGAGAGAGCCATGGAGGGTCATGGCTACCTCCTCCCTGTCCTGCTAGGACACTGGTGACAGGCGCCGTGGGCTCCCTACTCCTGGACTGGGGTGGCTGGCAGAGTGTCTTTTACTTCTCGGGTGGCCTCACCTTGCTCTGGGTGTGTTACGTGCACAGGTACCTGCTGCATGGAAAAGGTAACTGTAGCCCCTCGGGCTGGTCCTGCAGTGCCCTGCCCTTGTAGGCAGGGCCACCAAGCACTGTAGAGCAGAGTCACTCCACAAGGCCCTGGGGCTGGGCTGGGATCTGGTCAGAGCAGTCCTCAAGGCTGCAGCCTGAGAAAGACCCTTGAGTTCTGAGCTCTCAGCCTACACAGCAATCTGATTCAATCTATAAATCCCCATACTGGACACTAAGGCAGAGAGGAGACCGGCAGGCAAAGGCGAAGGCAGGTGGCAGGGGCAGCTGAGACCTCAGGTGGCCAGGAGGGGCTCATCGCTCCCCCCAGGTGATGCAGATTGTTAGGGGCTCTTTAGGGAGGGCCAGTGAGGTGTGTCCCAACCCTCTGGAGCAACCCCTACTGAGGGGCTAGTGTCACCTCACCCTGACAGCTGTTGCTTTGAATGTACTTGTCCTACCAGATCACATCCTGGCCCTGGGTGTCCTGGTACAAGGCCTGCCCCTGGCCAGGCCCTCCAAAGTGCCCTGGAGACAGCTCTTCCAGAAGCCTTCTGTCTGGTAAGCTGGGGCTGGAGTGGAGGAGCAGAGCACAGCACCCAGGGGTGTGGGTCTTTGGTGCCCCAGGGGAAGGGGTGAGCAACTTCTGCAGGTGCAACCTGGGGGAGAGTGCATGGGGCAGGCGAAGCCCTGAGCCCGGTGCCCCATGCAGGGCGGCCATCTGCGCCCAGCTGTCTTCGGCATGTTCCTTCTTCATCCTCCTGTCATGGCTGCCCACCTTCTTCAAGGAGACCTTCCCCCACTCCAAGGTGCGTCCCCTGCCTGCCCAGGGCTCGCGCAGCAGCAGGAGAGTTAGACTGTGGCAAGCCCTTGGTCCCCGTGTGCAGCTGCAGGAGCCCTTGGCTCTGTGTTGCTTCTGACCTCCCGTGGGCTGTGCTTTGTGATGGCTGCGTTCACACTCAGCAGCGGGGGCTGGCTCGGAGGCCTTGCGCTCTTCTGACACTGCAGCTTCCCTGCCCAGGGTCCTGCCTGCTGCCCTGCAGCGCCTGGCCTCTGCCTGGACAGCATCTTTCAATGCTGTTCTCAAGGAAGACTTCAGCATGGCCAGGGCGTGCACAGAGGGTCCTCTGTCTTGGCTGGGTTCCTCCACCCAGGCAGGCAGCCATCCTCTTCCTGGCTTGCTGACCAGAACCTTCTGGGCAGTGCATTCCTGGGGTGAACACTGCCCAGCTCTGGCCCTGCCTGGTCATGGTGTGGGGAGCACTGTGGGGAACTCAGGCGGCAGCACAGCCACGGTGGGCCTGGCACTCCCCAGGGGTGGTGATGGTCCAGGTGGCTGTGGCCTGGTGGAGCCTGCCCCCCCAGTTCCCTCTGCCTTTGGGCGAGCCCGTGGCGGGGGTGGGGGGTGCTCCCAGGCAGCCGTGGACTTGCATGGCTCTCCTGCGTTGCGTCCTCTCCAGGGCCACCTCTGAGCTGAGCCCTACCCTGCAGGGCTGGGTCTTCAACGTGGTGCCGTGGCTGGCTGCTATTCCTGCCAGTCTGTTCAGCGGGTTTCTCTCTGACCAGCTCATCAGTCAGGGTGAGTGCTGGGGAGCTGTACCTGCCATGAGGGACCCCACCTTCAAGCCAGCTTAGCGGTGGGTATAGCCCCTTTCCTTGAGCTTAGACTCCCCACTAACGGGAGAGGTAGATGCAGTATGAAGACCTGCTCTCACAGTCTGGCTCTGCAGCTCTTTCCTGGGGCCAGCCAAGCCCCCGGGCCTCTGCAGGAGAGGCGGCACGCAGGAGCCGGAGGTCACAGGTGCCCGGATTGGCTCTTGAACCCTTTGAGCTCCCAAGGAGGTGATGCTTCATGCTCCACCTTGAGCTCCCCACACATTTCCTGCAGCTCGTGGCGCTCCAGGGCAAAGTCCTGAGACCTGTGTCCATTCTCAGCCTGTGCTGTTTCCCTCAGCTCGGCCGCACAGGCAGGCACAGCACCAACACCCACAAGCCCAGCCCCGAGAAAGGCTGTGGGTCAAAACTTTGAGTCTCCCTTTGGCAAATTAGGGAGACACTACCTTAAAATAGAAGATGAAAAGGGCTGGGGATGAAGCTCAGTGGTAGGGTATACCTAAATTCCACCCCTAGAACCTAGAAAGTAAGGAAAGAAAGGAAAAGAGGGAGGGAAGGAGGGAGGGAGAAAGCAAGCAAGCAAGCAAGCAAGCAAAGGGAGCCAGGCTTGGCGGTGCACGCCTGCAATCCCAGCACTCAGGAAGCTGAGGAAGGAGGATTGTTGGGAGTCTGAGAGCAGCCTATGCTATAAAGTGAGCTCCACACCAGCCGAGCTGCATAGCAAGATCCTGTCTCAAAAAGACCAAGACCAAAACAAGATGACAGCAAAGGGAAAAGGTAACATCATTCACTTGTGGAAAAGCAGAAGCCTCAAAGACAGAGGAAACAGTTCTCCCTGGCCTGGAGCTTGGCACCTCGGTGGCACCCACACACGCTCTTCTTAATTTTCTGTCTGGGCCGTGGGCTCAGGAATCCTCTGATGAGCACACTGTGTGCAGAGCCAGCTCGCCGTGGCTGGAGACCCCTGCACCTTCAGCCTGGAGCCTGTCCCACCCCCCACCCTCATGGCTGTGCACGTGGCACCCTTCTCGGGAACACTGGAGGGCCAGCCCAGTGGGCTAACGGGGACCCATCCTGGGTCTGTCTCCCTGCCCAGGTTACAGAGCCATCACCGTGCGGAAGTTCATGCAGGTAGGAAAGCCCTTCCAGGTCTTCTCTGGACATCCCTGTTTTGTTCTGGCATCTTGGGAGCCAAGGGGTGCATTCCTGAGTCATTTGATTTCAGGGACCAGGCCAAGGTCAAGGTCATGAGCTGAGGAAGCTGCCCCTGCAATAGGCACAGCCCTCATCCCTCAGAGCAGGGCCCCTTCCCAGGCTTGAGGACTGGCATGAAAGGCCAGGCTGCCCAGGCCAGTTTAGGCAGGTGCCAGAGGGCATGCTGGGCCAGGATGGTGGGTGGCTGAGGAAGTTCCACCCTGAGCCCTGACCCAGCTCTCTGTGCCCCACCTGGGCCTCTGCCCACCATCTCCACAAGCTGAGCTCACCGGTAGGTCCTGGTCCCTGGTGTCCCCTGGGGAGGCCCCAGCCCAGGAGCTGTTGCTCATGGCCACCTGGGTGGCCACAGTGTAGGGCCAAGCTATCCCAGGCCTGGTGCCGTCCATCAGCCCTCTTGTCCACAGGTGATGGGCCTTGGCCTGTCCAGCGTTTTTGCACTCTGTCTGGGTCATACATCTAGCTTTCTCAAGGCTGTGGTCTTTGCGTCAGCCTCCATCGGCCTCCAGACCTTCAACCACAGGTGAAGGCCCCTGCCCCACCCACCCACGCTGCCAGGGTGCCCAGGCCTTGAGGCCTGTGAGTGGTCCTGTGAGAGGTCATTCGGCTGTGCTGACCTGGGCTCCGGCTGGTGCAGCCTAGTACTGCATACCGGGAGCTCCCAAGAGAGGCGGGCAGTAGGGTGGGAGGGAATGACTGCTGCTGGAGGAGGTGCAGGGAGAGAGGCTCACCGCTACACAGCAGCTGCAGTGTCCCTGCTGTCCACTTCTCTCCATGTCTGTCCTGAGCCTGCACCTTCCCCACCTGAGTACTAGCAGCTGCATTTAAACTTTTAGAATCAGCAGTGCAGGGTCATTCAGATCATCAAATGGGCCTGCATGTGGGTGCGGCAAACATGCCTTCCCTGCTGCTTGTCTGTTCTCGGGGGTAGCTGCCGGGTCTGCTTCCCTTGTGGGTGAGGAGAGCTGGGTGGGGGCACCCTCTCCCACGCTCCACCAGCTCCTCCTAGCTATGCAGGGGTCACCCGGCCCCGTGGCCCCTCACCACCTTCTTTCCTGTTTCTCACAGTGGCATCTCCGTTAACATCCAAGACCTGGCCCCATCCTGTGCCGGCTTTCTGTTTGGTGAGGGCCCTGCTCACCTCAGCTGTGGCCAGCGGGGCTGCCCCAGGCGGGTGGGCAGCGAGAGCCCGGGGCAGTTCTCTGATGTCCTTATTCTCTCTCTGGCCTGCTCACAGGTGTGGCCAACACTGCAGGGGCCTTGGCAGGTGAGGGGTGTGCCTCCATGCCCAGGTGTCACCTGCCCTTTGGGTTGGACCCGCTGGGGAGCTTGTGAGGGGGTGGTTGGTGGTCTTCATCCCTCCTGGCTCCTCTGGTCCTGTGAATGAGGTGTGGCATACTTGGAGGGGTCCCAGCATCAGTGGAAGGCATGAACCCCAGAGCTGGCCCAGGAGACCCCGTAGCAAGCATCTGCTTGGCTGATGGCAGGTAGCCCAGGTGGAGGTCAGGTGGAGGTCAGGTCCAGGAGCCTGGGGACCCTCCAGATGCTCCCTGCCCCCTCTGAGCGCCCAGGTCGCCAGGCTCACTCCCCATCCGCGTTGCTCTGCCACCCTTCAGAGATATGTGGTGAGGGGGACATGGTGACCTCGGAGGCTTCTTCCCTCTGAAACCTTGTGAGTCTTGAGCTTGGCCCTTCTTTGGCCCGGTAATTCAGAAGCCCAGATTCACCCTGGGGTCCGTGGGGTGCCAGGTCCCTGGCTCCTCTCTGTCCTTCCTCGGAGTGCTGGGGCAGGCACTCAGCCTGCCTGTGCCTGTCCTCACTCCAGGTGTGGTGGGCGTGTGTCTGGGAGGCTACCTGATCGAGGCCACAGGCTCCTGGACGTGTCTGTTTAACCTGGTGGCCATCATCAGCAACCTGGGGCTGGGCACCTTCCTGGTGTTCGGGCAGGCCCAGAGGGTGGACCTGAGCCCCACCCGCGAGGACCTCTAGCTTCTGACCTGCTGGCCCAAGGGTCCTGGTACCTGCAGCCTCCAGGGATGATGGGCTTCATCTGAGGCTCAGCTGCTCTTGACCACAAAGCAGAAGCAGAGGATGAAGACCCAGCAGTCGGGTGGCTCCCAGGGACCCACATGAGCTGAGGCAGGGGCTAGGGCAGGGCCCTGGAAGGCTGGGTCGGGCTTGGGCTTGTTGCCTCAGTCCCCACAGCGGGGACATCCCTGCCCTCCTCACAGCTGCTGTGACCATGGCCTGCAGTTGGCTGCCTGTGGGGACAAATGCAGGAGCCACGGGGCAGGCTGAGCCCCTCCGCCTCTCCGATGGCTCCCACACGCTGACTGTGGGGCACTTGGCTGGAGGCCAGCTCCCTGACTCCTGCATCATAGGCCCCTCCTGTGTCCCTGCCTCCACTCGTGGCAATCAGAAAGGGCTACAGACATTGCCCAATGTCGGGGAAGGGGCACCCCAGCAGAGCCATGGTGCTCATGAGGGCCTCAGTCCGACTTCTCCCTGCAGCCAGGCTGCCACCACGGAAGCCCATGACATCCAGATGCCCCCACAGCCCTTGTCCCCCATCCTGTGGACCCCATGGCACTACTGACATGGCCTGGGCCCATGAACCCCTGGGACCTTCCCAAGGCCCTGCCAGGACTCTCCTGCTGTGAAGGGAATGTCAGCACCTCCCTGGTGGTGCACCTTGCACTGCAGAGCAAAGATGCACCCTTCTTTCCGGCCATATCCTCCTGCCTCCCTGTTGTACTTGAGGAGGAGCTGATGGTTTCATAAATTAGTAGATTCTGCAAGTTGAATATGTATACGAGGAGAAAAGAAACTATAAAAGTGTGGAAAGTCATACCAAAGTTTTATTTAAATAACAATTAAATTATTTTAGAAAGAAGATTGCTTTGTTTTAAAACTTGAAAAAAATCTGAGGCTTTGCACTACATTCTCAGCTCACTTTTTATATCTTATTTTGAGGTAGGTTCTCCCCAAGCTGTTCAGGCTGGGCTGGAACTTGCAGTCTTCCTGCCTCCCAGAGTGCTGGGATTATAGGTTGAGACACAAAGCCCTGCTAACACTCTTGTTTTTCAGAATAAATATGTGTTAAATTGTGTATCCTATCCTCGATGAGGCCAGTGGGAGTCAGAACCAGGTCAAAGGAGAATCCCTGGATCAGGACCTGATGTCCTGCCTCGGCCACCGTGGGTGGTGGCCGGTCCAGCCCTGCAGAGATGCTTGCCCGTGTAGACAAGAACCAGCGGCTGTGCCCAGAGCTTTCCAGAGCCAGGCGGCATCCAGAACTAGACCACCTGTGCGCGCTGACAGGACAGGGACCATCTTTCGAGTAAGGACATGTTTTCCCCGTGGCCTCCAGTTTTGATCACAAAGAATCTTGAAGGATGTGTTTGGTTCAGAGTCTAGTGGGGGGGCAGACCTGGCCCCTTCTTCAGTACGGCAAGAGCTGGCTCTGCTGGGGGCTTCTGGGAGCCTCAGGCTGGGCTCCAGGTTCCTCTATACACGCAGTCCTGAGGCCAGGAGCCCTCCAAGGAGTCCACTGCTGTGCAGGCCAGGACAGAGGCTGCTTCTCCACATTGGTTCCCCTCCCCCTCTTCTCATAGCAAAATACACAGGAAACAAAACTTGGCATCCTAACCATTGGTGAGGGAGCGGTTGGGCAACACGGAGCACATTCACGTTGCGCAACTGCCCCTCTGCCCACCCGCAGAACGTGGTCATCTTGCAAAACACACTGTCGTTAACTATTAACCCCTGCTCCCAACCCAGCACATCTCGGTCTACTTTTCACCTATGAGCCTGACTCCTCTAGGGACCTCCTATAAGTGACCAGATGTCCCCGGCTGTCCCCTTGCTGCCTCTGGTCCTAAAGGCCATCATGATAATCCTTTGTATGACTGGGCCACATTTTCTGTGTCCATCCATCTACCCTCCGGTGCACATCCGGCTTGCTTCCTGCTCTGGGTCCTCGGGCACTGTGTTGGAGGGCACGTGGGGGAGCAATGGGTGCCTCTGCTTTTTCGTGGGCAGGTACTTCTGTCTTTCCCTGCAGGCAGGTGTGAAATCTTGGAAAATGAGAGGAAGTGGCCTTCCTCCTGGGCTCTGAGCTCTCTGGGCTCGTCTTGCCCCAGGAAGCCATTCAGGTTGCCCCATGTGGGTGGGACGTCAGTCCCCAGTGTATGTGACTGGATCTCCCTGAGCCACGAGGCTGGAGACTCTGGGCCTGCCTCTGTCTTGCTTCCATCATTTCTTTGAAGAGCAGAGGCCCAGAGAAGGATTCAGTAGGGGTTTGGAGTACAGGTGAGGTGCAGCAGAGCCCCATCTCCCCCTCACATTCCTCCACCTGGCCTATCACCCTAGACCAGGGCTCTTCTGGGGGTGCAGGGGAACAGAGGGTCCAGCCCAGTAGGCTGCAGACTGCCTGTGTGTCTGTTATCTGCTGCAGACAGGCCGGGCTTGGTCTTACCCACAAGGCAGATGGTCCTGGCCGTGGGCTGGCAGGACACGATCCTTCTGTGCCCCTGAGAGCTGAGTGGGGAGGGGCAATGAAGTGGCAGATTGCAGGGGCTCCTGGTCGGTATTTGAGCTGAGAGGGTCTGAACAGAGGCTGCTGCCTCTGGAATGAGTGGTGAGAGGCAGCCTCGCCCACCTTCTGGGGCCAGGGAGGGCCTCTCAGGCCAGAAGCTCCACCCCCCAGCCCTGTACTTGGCATAGAGCTGACCTGGGCACTGTGGGGGATTACTCTGCCTGTCAGTGAGGGTCTTTGGGGCAGATGCCCAGCCCTTTAGATCCGGCACCTGCATCCCTGAGCTGTTCTGGGACTGGGTTTATGGAGCTTTGCAGAGGTTTCTGAGCAGCCAGGACCTCCTAGGCAAGGACAGGGACTTGTGTTGGGTCATCTATCCTGCCAGGTCCGGACCCCCACAGACGCTTCTCTGTGCCTCTTCCCTGGAAGCAGGGGCTTTGTGAAGGAGCACGGCCCTGAGTGTGCATCGACGGACACACGTGTGGGCTGCGCTGGTGGGTGCCGGCTGGTGGGTCCGCTCACGCCCGTGAGGCCACGACCTCCAGGCACAACCGCTGCCAGTTCCCATATAGCCGACAGAGGGCGCTGGGGGACAGGGCTTGCTCTGCGCTCCGCGGAGGCTCTCTGGGGTGCTGTGCAGAGTGCGGACCTTCTGCTTCGAGGACCGGCACGGCAGAGGGGACGGTGCGGTGACAGCTGAGGAGTCCATCCTGGCTGCGGTGGGGTGGGAACGGGGCTGAGGCTATGGACACTGGGAGAGGCTGCCCTTGGCCCTTGGCCTCACGGGCTGGCGGTGTGCAGGCCTGGTGTGGGGAGTTTCCAGCCTGAAGGGTGGCCAGAGGAGCCCTCGCACCCACGCACGCTGTCCTCCTGGGTCGCTTCAGTTCCCCTATGTTGGCCAGCAGGGCATGGGCCGTGTTTTCTGCTCCTGCCTAGAGCAGGGGAGAAGGCTGCAGCAGAACGTTGGCGGGAAGCAGGAAAGCTCCCATCACATGGTGCTCCGCGAGGCCGGTGGGGGCAGTCTGCCGCAGCCTCCTGGGACACCCCTTTTCAGAAGATAAGAAGCTGGATGACCCCAGGGTGGTGGCCTGAGCCTGCAGCACCACACTGCCTCTACTTCTCTGGCTTTGCATGAAGATTCTGGGGCTACAAGTTTCTGTGATAGTCTGAAATATTTGTTCTTAGTGCTACAACATTCCTCAGTGGAATGACAAGAGGGGCTTGGCCTCTGGCCCTGCTGTGGTCGGTGCTGGGGCCTCTGGTCATTCCGGGTGGCGCTGGACATCGCCGAGCCGCCTGCTCTGAGCCCTTGGTCCTCCCTGAAGGCTATGCTCAGGACTGTAAACAGCTGACTTGGGTACACATATTGCAGACAATCAGACAGCGCTTGGTCCTCAAAGGAGCCAGTTCAGAAGCTGAGGTACATCGCCACGTGGGGAGGCGCAAATGCCTCTGCAGAGGGCCAGACCTCGACACAAAAGATAAAGTGCGTGTACCACACCTTCCCTAAGGGTGAACAGCAGGAGCGGATCTTCTGGGTAGGTACGATCGCCGTGGGAAAGCCAGGAGGGCTGGCTGATCCAGCCCCTCCAGGAAGAGCCCCTGTTCTGAATTCATGCCTGCTTGCTGTGTGACGCGAGTCCCCACTTGATCCTCACTTAATCAATATTACCTGAGCAATGTGCTTGTAGTCTTACTGGCTGACCATAGTTGTGTCCCACCTCATGCCCCCCTTGTCCTCATTTTTCCCAATTTGAACTGCCTAACTTTGGGTTTTGCTCTATAAAAATCCCTAGAAAGGATGGGGTCCTTGGCAACCCACTCAGGACCCCTCTGTCTCTCTCAGACAGAAGCTTTCTTTTACCCAATAAATAGATTCTATGCTTAACCTCCGCTGTTCCTGGAACTCACTTATTTGTTTGTTTTTTGCAGTACCAAGGATCAAACTCAGGACCTTGCACTTGCCATGTAGGCGCTTATGCCACTGAGCTACATCCCCGGCCCCTCTCTCTTCCATTTTAGAGAACATGAACTTAAATCAGACATCTAGCAGGTCAGGAGTTTCCCTGTATTACCAGGTCCCGTCTCTAAGCCCTGGGTAGCCCCTATGTAGGTCTCCCTGTGCACTCCACCCCTTCTAGCTCCTGAATGGGGTTGTCCCCTCTGGTTGCCAAGTGACACCCTTCTGTCTTCTAAGCAGGATCTTTAATGGCTGCCTGTGCTTCATTGGGGTGTGTTCCCTCCAACTCTCTGGCTGTCAGCATTTCTGAGTCACTGTCCTCCACCTATGGGACGACAATGCCCCGAGGCCCCCACTTGCTTCCTTGGGGACTCCCAGACATGGTCCCCTGGGCAGCGCCACCCTCCTCACTTGGAGTAATTGCCTTAGTTGTTGCCCCCCTAACCTTATGCTCTGTCCTGCTGTCTACCAGGGACAGTGACCACAGCCATCCTCCCCCTTGTGTGCCAGACAGAGAGGGCAGGAAAGCTGGTCTGTGAGTTGGAAATACACTTTTGACAGGAATTTACTTTATTATGTTTAATTGAAAAGCGTTGGAGTTGGGGCATGAATTTTCAGCGTTGAAGGCAGCTGGCAAGGAGCCAGCTGCCTGTGATCAGGCTGAGCCCGGCAAGGGGCCTGTCCGAGGGGGAGCAGCACGGGGAAGCTATTAATTGAAATAGCTTCATTAATTAGTAATTAACAGCAGGGTAATGACTGTGTCACATGTCGTATTTCAGTGGATGCCCTTCATGTGTTATGGGGCCTTTAATTAAAGGACGTGCATTTTAATTAAAGGCAAGCTTGGCCCTTTGGCCTTCAGAATACAAAAGATGCTCCTGATTTTTAAAGAAAATTGTGCAGACTATTTTTGTGGGGACCTGGTTACTGTGGGGGGGGGTCACAGGTTGGTGTGGAAGGGGACGGACCCAAGGACCACAGAGGGAGGCACCATGGGCCGGTGTAGGCCCTGGAGTACCCCAGAGGCCTGTGGGGGGCTCAGAGATGTGCCTAGAGGACAGACAGCCCCACAGGGCTAGTGCTGCCTCAGGGCCTCGCCCTGGTCCTGAGCAGGTAATAGCAGGCCCTGGGTGTAGCCTGGCCCAGCACAGGCGGGGGCTGCTGTCTCCTAGCTGTCTCCTGCCACCCTGTGGGAGGCGCTCTCCTAGCTGAAAGGCTCTGCACCCACTCCAGTGACAGCAAAGCCGGGTGGCAGACACCCCTCCCACCCCTGGCAGCTGCCCTGACCCCTGGAGGAAGGCCAGGGCAGGACAGGAGCCTCATGCTCTGCGGCCCCCAGAGAGGCCCCAGCCC